TCCATCTATCAAGTAGTGTCTATATATCATGTTGTGTCTATCATGTTGCGTCCATCTATCATGTTGCATCCATCTATCATGTTGTGTCCTTCTATCATGTAGTGTCTGTCTATCAAGTGTCTATCATGTATCATCCCTCTATCATATCGTGTCCAACTATCACGCTTTAAAATATTTCGAAATAAGACTTTTCGTGAAACTTGAACAATACTGAAATACTCGACCTGAGATTAATGTATTGAACTGGCCATTTTCTTCTACAGTTTTCAGCACATCAAATAGTCTTCTATACTCTCAATAATCACTATGTTGCAAGCTGCAGAATAGACACTTGTTGTATTATAAGCTATGTTGATTATGTTGCAAGCTGCAGAATAGACACTTGTTGTATTATAAGCTATGTTGATTATGTTGCAAGCTGCAGAATAGACACTTGTTGTATTATAAGCTATGTTGATTATGTTGCAAGCTGCAGAATAGACACTTGTTGTATTATAAGCTATGTTGATTATGTTGCAAGCTGCAGAATAGACACTTGTTGTATTATAAGCTATGTTGATTATGTTGCAAGCTGCAGAATAGACACTTGTTGTATTATAAGCTATGTTGATTATGTTGCAAGCTGCAGAATAGACACTTGTTGTATTATAAGCTATGTTGATTATGTTGCAAGCTGCAGAATAGACACTTGTTGTATTATAAGCTATGTTGATTATATTGCAAGCTGCAGAATAGACACTTGTTGTATTATAAGCTATGTTGATTATGTTGCAAGCTGCAGAATAGACACTTGTTGTATTATAAGCTATGTTGATTATGTTGCAAGCTGCAGAATAGACACTTGTTGTATTATAAGCTATGTTGATTATATTGCAAGCTGCAGAATAGACACTTGTTGTATTATAAGCTATGTTGAATGTTGCAAGCTGCAGAATAGACACTTGTTGTATTATAAGCTATGTTGATTATATTGCAAGCTGCAGAATAGACACTTGTTGTATTATAAGCTATGTTGATTATATTGCAAGCTGCAGAATAGACACTTGTTGTATTATAAGCTATGTTGATTATGTTGCAAGCTGCAGAATAGACACTTGTTGTATTATAAGCTATGTTGATTATGTTGCAAGCTGCAGAATAGACACGTGTTGTATTCTGTTAAATGGGGGCGTGGTCAGAGAGGGGGCGTGGTCAGGTAGGGGGCGTGGTCAGGTAGGGGATGCGGTCAGGAAGTGTTTGGTAGGGTGTGTGGTCATGGAGGGTGTGGTAGGGTGTGTGGTCATGGAGGGTGTGGTAGGGTGTGTGGTCATGGAGGGTGTGGTAGGGGGTGTGGGTCAAGTGGAGGGTGTGTAGGTGTGTGTGGGTCATGGAGGGTGTGTGTGTGGGTGTGTGTGGTCATGAGGGTGTGGTAGGGTGGGCTGCGGAGGTGTGGTGGGTGTGGTCATGGAGGGTGTGGTGTGGTCATGGAGGGTGTGGTAGTGTGTGGTCATGGAGGGTGTAGTGTGTGTGCCTGCGTGTAGGGTGTGTGGTCATGATAGTGTGTGTGGTGTGTGGGTCATGGAGGGTGTGGTGTGGTGTGGGTGGTCATGGAGGTGTGTGTGGTCATGGAGGGTGTGGTAGGGTGTGGTCAGTGGTGGTAGGGTGTGTGGTCATGGAGGGTGTGGTAGGGTGTGTGGTCATGGAGGGTGTGGTAGGGTGTGTGGTCATGGAGGGTGTGGTAGGGTGTGTGGTCATGGAGGGTGTGGTAGGGTGTGTGGTCATGGAGGGTGTGGTAGGAAGTGTTCTCACCCTGAATGTACAATGACGTCAGTAGGCGCTCAATCATTACATAATTACAGAGTGCTGTGTTATGGAGGTGGCGACATGTTTACCTACTTGAGAGAGAGAGAGAGAGAGAGAATTATGTGAAGGATATTCCATAAACCTCGAAAAACAAAATTACGCAAAACACACACCAAAAAAAACGCGAAAACAACGTCGTAAAACAGTAGTTGGCAACAGTATCCGCCATAATTTCATATCAGCTGACAGATGCAAACAAGTCCCCTTTTCAACAGTGATATACAGTCGATCCGACTAATTACCCAAATATAGCCGCAATGAAGTCAAATAATGGTCCTACATGAATAAATCGGACTGCTAATCACTTCTCGACTAGTATTTGGTGTCATAAAGTAAAAAAAAAAACTGGTAAACTTAATTTAATCTGAGTTGTGTTGTGTTAAGTTAGGTTGGGTTAGATGAGATTAGATTAGGTTTGGTACATGCACTTGATCTATTAACTCAGATTAAATTAAGTTTTCCAATTTTTTGTGACTTTCTGACACCAAATACAAGTCGAGAAGTGATTGGCAGTCCGATTTATTCATGTAGGACCATTATTTGACTTCATTGCGGCTACATTTGGGTAATTAGTCGGACCCATATACAGTCGTCATATTTCCCCCCACAAACATCGTGCCGATAATATTTCACGATCTTAAAACCACTATATTAAAGGCTAAATCAGACTATATAACTAGGCTAATGTATATAGACTAGATAATCATGAAAAACAAATTCCTGTCAAAATTTGAAACGATAAAGGTAGTCGTATGAGGCCGACTTACCCCTGGGAATGACGTAGGTGGTGTTCCGCTCAGCACAGTAACACGCCACATCTTCCCTGGCACAGCACTGGGTTGGTGTTACTGGTGTCTTAAGAGTCGGGCAGTCCTGAGCACTTCTTGGGTCAGGCTTAAATCTCTACCAAGCTCTTAACCCCTTGTGTAATTGACGAATTCATTGTCTTAGTAATGACGTGATTTTTTTTAATAATCTCTATCAATATTAGTTATACGAATTATTTTATACATATATTTCCAATAAACATTTACTTGGTCTTGAAAAACATCAGTTTACATAAATATCTCACAAGACCTGGAGAATTGTTTATTTTTTTTACATATGGATAATAATTCAACTCATATAAGACTCATAAACTCAGAATAATCATGTGTTAATATAGACAAGTATGGCGCCGTCACCTACACAAGGGTACAGAGCTGGGTACACAGTTTAACACCTGACTTACCTCCTGAGTCGCGGAACTCTTCACAAAATCACTTCTCACTCGGTATAACCTTGGCGAGCTTTCTCAACCCGTATCATAAACACTGCGCCACCAGGAGTAATCACCGGTGCCTGGCATTACCTTACATCCCACGAGAAAATTCATGAAAATTCCACCTAATGATTATCTCCTATGGTGGTGACATGGAGATGTAGAATTCCTCTGATATCCTCACCGTGATTCTCATGTGACTAAAACATTATCACTACGTCCTAAACTTATCTGATTTGAATAGGTAAAATTTCAATCGATTTATTACTCAAATACGTATCTTGATGACCCACATACGGAATTGAAATTGAAATATTTTATTGAGTTATAATAATCACACACGGGGAAAAGGTCTGGTTTTAGGCGTGTTCGAAGTAGTATCGAGCTTTAGCGAATCACTGAACCACTACAGCAAGGCTAATAATATTGGAGTTAGTTAATTTTACCGCCACACCACCATGTTAAGTACTGTACTGCGGTGTCCCTCAGGACTCATTTAGTTTAAAACTCGGGTTGAAACACGACGACCCTCTTTAAGGGAAGATGTTGTTTAATAATACGGGCGTGAAGCAGTTGAGAGTCTCGGTGTATAAATGCGCTTCTCGTCTGTGAGTGTGTGCACAAACATACACACAGCAAACAGCATGAGCTTCTGTCTACATATAAAAATAAACAAATGTTGAACTAGAACTCATAAGGTTAATTAAATGTTGACTTAGAGCAGAGTGATAAAAATGATGTGCTATACTAAATAATGATTAAATTGTCTATACCGGAGCACTCAAGGAACATAACTGTGCTGGAACATTCATGGAACAAAACTGTACTGGAACATTCATGGAACATAACTGTACTGGAACATTCATGGAACATAACTGTACTGGAACAATCATGGAACATAACTGTACTGGAACATTCATGGAACAAAATTGCAATGGAACAACCAAGGAACAAAAATATACTGGAGTGTTTTAAAATATATCACTGGAAATAACTACGTTTTCAAGATACAATTCTGAATTTACGAAAATACACACACACACACACACACACACACACACATCTGTTAAGTGCAACACACACACACATTGGCCAGCCCCTTGTTGACACCCCGTCACCTACTTCCCCCAGGTGCTCTGTTAACCCTCTATTAGGGGGGGGGGTGTTGGTAGAATAGGTGGGTGGTAATGGTGAAAAAGCGAAAGGGGTTGTGGGTAGAAAGGGAGGAATGGTGGTGGAAAGGGAGGGATGGTAGTGGAGAGGGATGGGGTGGAAGTGGAATGGTAGGGGGAGGTGTTGGTGGAAAGGGATAGGAGAGGTGTGAGTGGGAGGGAGGGGAGTATATTGATTGAATAGATGTTAATATTGATTGAAAATGAGAGGCCATGAATATATATGACAGAGGTATTGAATAAAATTGAAACACACAATGAATACAAACAACACAACTGAACTAAACATGAAAGAAATAAGAAAAATAAAGAAAAAAATGAATGAAAAAGACAAACAGACGTAAGAGATAAAGGAATATAAGTATTAGAAGAGGCAGAAAGGAACTCAGCTGCGGGATACAAAAAGTAAATTTTCTGAACGTGTTTTTTCGCTTCGTGTGGTCAACTCAAAGCCTCTCGCTGTCTCCCTCAGTCTCCAACAGCTGACCCCTTTAGTCTATGATGATGAGATAACAAGCCTGTGTGCATTCATAACCCACTATAATGTACGATTAGCCTTAAATATTATAGGAATTTAATTGTGTAATGTTTAGAACACCTTAAAATGATTACAGTCACATACACGTAGTTACCTGCAACATACAATCACATATGTTACCTGTAATACACCTTTATATAAGATTAATATATGAGTTTAGTGTATAAGGAAGCTATAGTACACTCACGCAGTACAGCCAGGTTGACGGAGGCGACGAGGGTGGTGGGTGAGTGGTGGAGGGCAGGGTGGAGGGCGCGGCATGAGTACTGTTGACCGTCATCCACCGCCTCCACCCTCACCACCAGGCGGCTCCTCACACTCCACCTCCGGGGTAGTCTTGACGCCTCCACTACATCCTCGTGTAGACCTGTCGAGGTAGATGAAGATGTGAGTAGTAGTCGTAGTAATCGTAGTAGTGGTAGTCGTAGTACCCAAAAAACTTAAGAAAAACCAAGAAGTATAGGAAAACTTAATACTTTTCCTACCTTCCAAGCCTTCGTATCATTAAGGACAAGAAACACCTTAACACAACACTATTCTCGGGCAGCATCAGGTAGGTGAGAGTGTGTCGGTAATGATATGCACCAGCAGCCTACAGCAGTCACCTGAGCCACGCCCTCACGAGTTCCTACCTGAGTAATTCTCCGTAAATGGTGATGGTGAAAACGTTTCTAAATTGCCTCACTTAATTGGTTTCCATGTAACATTAAAGTCTGGCCGTCACTCGCTACGTTCTCTCATCCTAGCTACAGGGAACAGATTCAATTTACCAATGTTGGAAATTCGTACACTGATTATCTATAATTAGGGTGATTAAAATAGTTAAAAAATAATGACTAGCGTATTAGATCTGAGGGTTGGCGACCATAGCCCTCCACTGCAATCGTTTTTCGAACTGTCTTCACCAAACCTAAATGATTTTGTCTCCAGGAACATTTTAAATTCATCCACCCCCAAACTCTACCTACCCCTGGCCACCCCACCAACAATTTCATCCAACGATGTCTTTATAAAACTTCAAGAGCATTATAAAAGCATAATAACTTAAAGAGAACTAACAGACCAGGTATTAGTGATGTAGCGCCATTATGTAGTGTGATAGTGTACCTTTATGTAGGGTGATGTAGTACCATTATGTAGTGTGATAGTGTACCTTTATATAGGGTGATGTAGTACCATTATGTAGTGTGATAGTGTACCTTTATATAGCGTGATGTAGTACCATTATATAGGGTGATAGTGTACCTTTATGTAGAGTGATAGCGTCTCTATACCATGCCAGGGTAGGAGGCGGCCTGGCATCAGTCACCAAACACTCGAGCCGTAGTGTGTCGCCTGCTCTCACCTCCACCACGTCCCCGTCACCAACACCCACCAGACTAATGCTCGTAGGCGACACTGACGAAGAAGATAATACTCACTGTTATCACCTGAAATATAGTGGGGGGAAGATAATGCAGTATTCATTGTTATTACCTGATTAAGAGTACAAGACCCAAGTACCAGACCAAGAGTACAAGACCCAAGTACCACATCAAGAGTACGAAATCCAAATACCAGGTCAGTGTACACATTCTCTCAGATCTTAAGAGGACAGAATACGTACATTACCCAACAGTGTACATGAACTCCTCTTCTCTCCCCTCTTCAGGACATTACCTCTTGATTACCCTGAGAGAGAGTCCCTAACTATCTTGAAACACATCAGCACAAAATTGGACTTGCGTTTTTAACCGAGTTTTTCCCACCACCACCACCACCACTACACACACACACACACACACACACACACACACACACACACACACACACACACACACACACACACACACACACACACACACACACACACACACACACACCCGTACACTCATACTAACTTGTTTGATCTGGGATATACTTCATCCTGGAGTAAGTGTGATTAAGTGCATACTATAACTTAAATGGACTAAGTATAAGTGTGTTAAGTGCAGTAAAGAACATACATTATTTTCACTAGGGCATATAACTCTCTCTCTCTCTCTCTCTTTCTCTCTCTCTCTCTCTCTCTCTCTCTCTCTCTCTCTCTCTCTCTCTCCGTCTCTCACCAGGACCTGCAGGTGTCATCCCTCCTCCTCCACTTCCAGTCCACTGAGCCAAAATTTCTTCCAAGGCTCCAACATTTCTTAAAAACCTCCAGAAAAAGACAATATCATATATTTTCTTAATGAATTTCTTTCTTAAATTACTCCCTACACTTGTGCCATTGATGACATTTATTAATTGCTGTAAGATAATTTAAGAGTGATTTTTTATCTTACTTTCCATTTTTCTTATATTTTAATGAGTATAAGATTTAAGATATAACTATGAATATACATTTTTTTATATATAATTGAAGTGACATCATCACCAAAGACCATAATAATAATAGTAGTAATAATAATAGTCATAGTAGTAATAATAGTAATAATAATAATAATAATAATAAATTCTCCTTCAACTATTATTACAGAAAAAAAGTAGAATATGCGTTAAGAGATTCCTGATGAGGGTTAGAAGCCCCAGGGCGATAGAGACAAAAGGGGCGCCATAAATCACCTGAATATGAAGGAAAAATACTGATTATTGGATACTTCTCAGATAGTGGTGAGTGACTATTTGTTTACGGTGTTGCCTCTATAAGGAAGGAAGGAAGGAAGGAAGGACGTATACCACTTCCTTGAGATATATTAATCTGACCTAGCATGACCTTTAGCCCAAAATTCCCACAAATCCTCAAGAAATTTAACAAAAAACACTTAGGAAAGTTAACACAAACCCACTAGACAAATTTAAGGAGTGAACACAGACATTCAATGTGTTGGCCCAAGCACACAAGACATAGCCTTTAAGAAGGAGTTAACAGAGGCAGTGCAGAACACGGCCACAATCGGTCTCAGCTGTCAATACCGCCCTGGTTGGCTGGAGAGAGCAATTGGCGCGCTTTTTTCATGTCAACACCATCAGCTGATTTGTTCGCCAGCTCCCCGAAAATCGTTGGTCCGGGTCAGTTTTTACTTTTTCCTGCTTTTACCGTCTGATGGAACAATTTACGAGTAATAGTGGGTAAAGGGTGTTTTTTTTAGCTTACCCTTTACCGCCTGCTAACACACACACACACACACACACCTATGTTCCCCTGCCTGGTCTTCTTTCATGCTACGCAACAAAGGGTCCAAGAAAGACTACACAACCTCTCCCTCTCTCCTACACCACATATCAAGAGGCGCTGAATTCACTGACACTCTGTTATGGCGAAATATTATATATATAGCACACGAAGCTACTACACCGTCCTCCTCACCGTCTCCTGCTACCACCTGAGATCCCTCGTCCACCACAACCACATCCAGCCCATACGACCATTGTAAACACCATCAATAACAGGTACTGTATATAACTTGTATAATCATTCTTTCACAATCTCACTTTTATACTGTAATTGTGCTGAAATTCCTTGTTAAATGACCCTTTGGAGCTGAGAGAGAGAGAGAGAGAGAGAGAGAGAGAGAGAGAGAGAGAGAGAGAGAGAGCAATATAACCTTCAAGACTGAACTAATGCAGATAATGAGAATATTTTACTGTACTAGCCTGGGGAGGAGAACACGAGAGGACATTAGTGGAAACGTAAAAAAATAAAGTAATGAAAATGAATATAAAGAAAGGCTTTTATAGAAGAAATAATTAAGGGCTTGGGGACATTAAGTGAGAATATACTGTAGGAGGAATTTGAGGATTTTTTTTAATAAGTTTGAGTTTGTTTCTGTGTTTGAGGGAGGCGGTGTACCTAACCTAACCTGCCACCCAAGGTAAGTCACCATATACGAGGTACATTAAGGTAAGTCAGAGCTGCCTCACACCTGCTAATGATGTTAAGGTAGGAGGATTTACCCATAACAAGAAGGGTGATATCCATGACAGATTATATGACTCACCCATGACAGTAAAGTAGAATGACTTCCCCATGACAAGAAGAGTGCCATCGATGACACTATGACTCACCCATGACAGTAAAGTAGAATGACTTCCCCATGACAAGAAGAGTGCCATCGATGACACTATGACTCACCCATGACAGTAAAGTGGAATGACTTACCCATGACAAGAGAGTGCCATCATTGACGCTATGACTCACCATGACAGTAAGTGGAATGACTTACCCGCGACAAGAAGAGTGCCTCCGATGACACTATGACTCACCCATGACAGTAAAGAAGTAGAATGACTTCCCATGACAAGAAGAGTGCCATCGATGCCACTATGACTCACCCATGACAGTAAAGTGGAATGACTTACTGCAGTGACAAGAAGAGTGCCATCGTGTACTATGACTCACCCCATGACAGTAAAGTAGAATGACTTACCATGACAAGAAGAGTGCCATCGACGCACTTGACTCACCATGACAGTAAATTGGAATGACTTACCCGCGACAAGAAGAGTGCCATCGATGACACTATGACTCACCCATGACAGTAAAAAGTAGAATGACTTACCCATGACAAAGAAGAGTGCCATCGATGCCACTGAGCTCACCATGACAGTAAGTGGAATGACTTACCCATGACAAGAAGGTGCCATCGATGACACTATGACTCACCCATGACAGTAAGTAGAATGACTTCCCCATGACAGAAGAGTGCTATGACTCACGCGACAGTAAAGTGGAATGACTTACCCATGACAAGAAAGAGTGCCATCGATGACACTATGACTCACCATGACAGTAAAATTGGAATGACTTCCCCATGACAAGAAGGGTGCCATCTGATGACGCATGACTCACCGCATGACAGTAAAGTAGAATGACTTTCCCCATGACAAGAAGAGTGCATCATTGACACTATGACTCACCCATGACAGGTAAGTGGAATGACTTACCCATGACAAGAAGAGTGCCATCGATGACACATGACTCACCCATGACAGTAAAGTGGAATGACTTACCCATGACAAGAAGAGTGCCATCGATGACACTATGACTCACCATAAAAACCACAAAAAACTCACCCATGACAGTAAGTAGAATGACTTCCCATGACAGAAGAGTGCCATCGATGACACTATGACTCACCATGACAGTAAGAATATTCCCATGACAGAAGAGGCCATCTGACCTGACTCCATGACAGTAAAGTAAATGACTTACCCATGACAAGAGAGTGCCATCGATGACACTATGACTCACCCATGACAGTAAAGTGAATGACTTACCCGACAAGAAGGTGCCATCGATGACACTATGACTCACCTATGACAGTAAAGTAGAATGACTTACCCATGACAAGAAGAGTGCCATCGATGACACTATGACTCACCCATGACAGTAAAGTGGAATGACTTCCATGAAAGAGTGCCATCGATGACACTATGACTCACCCATGACAGTAAGTGGAATGACTTCCCCATGACAAGAAGAGTGCATCGATGACACTATGACTCACCATGACAGTAAAGTAGAATGACTTACCCATGACAGAAGAGTGCCATCGATGACACATGACTCACCCATGACAGTAAAGTAGAATGACTTACCCATGACAAGAAGAGTGCCATCGATGACACTATGACTCACCCATGACAGTAAAGTAGAATGACTTACCCATGACAAGAGTGCCATCGATGACACCTATGACTCACCCACAGACAGTAAAGTGGAATGAGCCCACTCCATGATGAAGAAGAGTGCTACTGATGACACTATACCCTACCCATGACAGTAAAGTGGAATGATTACCCATGAGTTGAAGAAGAGGCTACCGATGACACTATGACTCCACCCATGACAGTAAAGTGGAATGACTTCTACCCATGACAAGAAGAGTGCCATCGACATAACAGATCTACCCATGACAGTAAAGTGGAATGATTTACCCATGATTAAAGAAGAGTGCCACTCAGACAACAAGACTCACCCATGACAGTAAAGTAGAATGATTTACCCATGACAAGAAGAGTGCCACGATGACACTATGACTCACCCATGACAGTAAAGTGGAATGACTTCCCATGAAGAAGAGTGCCATCGATGACACTATGACTCACCCATGACAGTAAGTGAATGACTTACCCATGATAAGAAGAGTGCCATCGATGACACTATGACTCACCCATGACAGTAAAGGAATGATTTCCCATGACAAGAAGAGTGCCATCGATGACACACTATGACTCACCCATGACAGTAAAGCAGAATGACTTAACGTATGATGTTGAAGAGCGCCATCGATGACACTATGACTCACCCATGACAGTAAAGTGGAATGATTTACCCATGATAAGAAGAAAGCTATCGATGACATATGACTACCCATGACAGTAAAGTAGAATGATTTAACGGCGATTAGCAAGAAGAGTGCTATCGATGACACTAAGACTCACCCATGACAGTAAAGTGGAATGATTACCCATGATTGAAGAAGAGTGCCATCGATGAATTCATATGACTCACCCATGACAGTAAAGCGGAATGATTTACCCATGATGTAAGAAGAGTGCCAATGATGACACTATGACTCACCCCACAGCAAAGTAGAATGACTTACCCATGACAAGAAGAGTGCCATCGATGACACTAAGGACTCACCCATGACAGTAAGTGAATGATTACCCAAGATACAAGAGTGCCATCGATGACACTATGACTCACCCAAGACAGTGAAATTATCATCTGATGACAAGAAGAGCTATCGATGGTTCATGACTCAACGATGACAGAAGTGGAATGACTTCCCTGATGATGCAAGAGTGCCATCGATGACACTCATGACTCACCCATGACAGTAAAGTAGAATGATTTACCCATGACAAGAAGAGGCAGCTATCGATGACACTATGACTCACCCATGACAGTAAAGGAAATGACTTACCCATGACAAGAAGAGTGCCATCGATGACACTATGACTCACCCATGACAGTAAGCAGGAATGACTTACCCATGACAAGAAGAGTGCCATCGATGCCAGAATGACTTACCCATGACAGTAAGGTTGGCAGCAGCCCAGATGGGGGAGGTGGTGATGGTAGGTCCTACTTGACACTGGTATTCTCCATCATCCTCGAGTGTCACCCCCTTGATAACCAGGTGATGCTCCCCCTTACTCGAGTCACCTATGTAGTGGTAACGAGGGTAACCCGGAACGTCACGCTCGAACCCTGGAGGTGGGAGATTAGTGTGGTGGGGAGAAGGGGAGATTAGTGTGGTGGGGAGAAGGGAGGTAGTATGGGAAGAGACAGGGAGGTAGTGGCAATCCGGAACTATAAGAGCCGGAGGGGAGGTGTTATTATGTGGGGCAAAGGAAATATCAATCCAATTTGATATCCAACCTTGAACCTTAAGAGGCCATAAAGTGGTGCTAAGTGACAAAAGGATTGACTGACACAACTTATTTGAGCCCTAGGGGAACAGGGAAATAAAATAAGGTTTAGTTTGGCGTCGTAATACTGATTGACACTTGAGGGTGGCACTAAGGACCAATCTCAGTGCCACCCTTGATGAAAACCTGTAAATATGCCAATCAACACTTGACTTAAAATACCTTTAATATCACGCACTAATCATCAATAATAAAGATGCAAATACTACTAATAATAATGGTGGCCCCTCGTGTAACGAGGATAGCCGGCCCAAGGGCCACCTCAGAGTGAATTTGTTTAAGGTGTAGAAGCTGTCCAGTGTCAAGGAATAGTCCGAGAAGACCGGACAACTCGCCAACTGCACTGGCTAACCATTACCCCGGAACACGATTAACATCCAGGTCCCCAACTACTGCTGGGTAGACAGAGGCAAATGGCGTAAGAAACTTCCTCAATACCCACAACCATCTCACTCTTACCACACACACACACACACACACACACACACACACACACACACACACACACACACACACACACTATGCTGCTTATAGACTCATAGACTCTCACCAACACACCCAAGGACTTCTTTTCGTATGACAGGATGTATTGAGACTTACTGTGTAATTACTGTAAGTGCATCCTGGGAATCTAACTACAAGTGTCTATATCCTTTTGAGGTGGTTTATCAATCACTTGGAGTGGTGGTGGGGATGGTGGTGGTGGGGTGGTGAGGGATGGTGGTGGTGGTGGTGGTTATGGTGGTGGTGGTGGTGGTGGTGGTGGGGATGGTGGTGGTGGTGGTGGTGGTGGTTATGGTGGTGGTGGTGTGGTGGTTATGGTGGGTGGTGGTGTAGTAGTTATGGTGGTGGTGGTGGTGGTGAGATTGTGGTTATGGTGGTGGTGGTTATGGTGAGGTGGTGGTGGTGGTGGTTATGGTGGGTGGTTATGGTGGTTGGTGGTGGTGGTGGTAGTTATGGTGGTGGGTGGTTATGGTGGTGGTGGTGGTGGTGGTGGTAGTTATGATGGTGGTGGTGGTGGTAGTTATGGTGGTGGTGGTAGTATGGTGGTAGTTATGGTGGTGGTGGTGGTGGTGGTGGTGGTGGTGGTGGTGGTGGTTATGGTGGTGGTGGTGGTGGTGGTAGTTAGAATGGTGGTGGTGGTAGTTATGGTGGTAGTTATGATGGTGGTGGTGGTAGTTATGATGGTGGTGGTGGTGTGGATTATGGTGGTGGTGGTAGTTATGGTGGTGGAGTTATGGTGGTGTAGTGGTTATGGTGGTGGTGAGTGGTGGTGGTAGTTATGATGATGGTGGTGGTGGTGGTAGTTATGGTGGTGGTGGTGGTGGTAGTGGTGAGAATGGCCAAGTATAACAAAGTCCCTGATCAAGTATAACAAAGGCCCTAATCGAGTTTAACAAAGGCCCTGATCGGAGTATAACAAAGTCCCTGATCAGGTAACAAACTCCCTGGACTAGAGTATAACAAAGTCCCTGATCGAGGTATAACAAAGTCCCTGATCGAGGTATAACAAAGTCCCTTGAGCGATTATAGCAAAGGCCCTGATCCAAGTATAACAAAGCCCTCTCATCGTGTACAAAAAGCCCCCTCATCGGGTAT